AAGATATGTGTCATACTTATGACTCTATCAGTTGGCACATGTTAAAACTAGCTCTATAATGTATCAAAATAAACTCTACATATATCACACTTTGTAAAAATATTTATATAATACGTCAAAACCAAATTATAACTGAATATAGACTTACCATATCTTATCCTATTCTGGATGATCTTGATCAAGATAAAGTTAATGCACTCATACTGTGGCAAATCTTTTATGATCTCTTACTATATCAGATAAAAGCATGACATTCATCATAAGAATATACCATGACATCCAAGCTAACATCCACTCCTAATCAAATATCTCATCAAACTTATCTGATAATTAATAATCTAGCCTTTGTTGATGACATGGTCTGAATTACCAATAATTAAAGATGGCTCCTCAACTAATTGCGGCTTGTGGCAGCCAATCAGAGAATTGTAACAGAGTTGTGGCAGCCAATCAGAGAATTGCAACAGAGTTGCAGCTAGTTGCAGCTCCCATCTCTACTAATAGTCATCTAGTAATGCAACAGATTCTCAATATTACATCCTAATTCTATAATATATGTAATATTAAAATCAACCCAAAGAAAACAGAAATAATTTACTACAAATCAACTGAACTATATTCTAACACAGAACTTTATATTGGAATAGCTAGCAATCAAATACAAATACTTCTTCCAAATATTTGTACTAAATATTTTGGTTTATATATCAACGCAAATGATAATTTCAATATTCAGTTAAATAAAATAAGATCAGATATCACACTTATATCTAACTTACTAAGTCATAAATATATTATCAATAAATAATAAGCTATCTATATCATCAACCGGGTGCTTATTCTAGCATTCAAATACTGCTCCTAACTCTTCATTATATTTAAAACTGAATGTGACAAACTAATAAAATAACTAAAAAAAGTTGTCAAATCCAAAGTAAGATTATTACTATCTTTTTCTGACTCAGTTCTACATCATCTAAAATTTTTTGTTCTAGATCACTTGTGGTTTATTTAAACTCACACAAAAATCACAGAGCTCTTCTATCATCTAAATGATACTCTTATTCTCAGCCTAGCAACACATATTCATTTACAATATCTCCAGGAATAAAAATAGCTCCATCACTTAATAATTTCACATCACACATCAGAATTATCACCACAAGAAAAAAACTTAATAGCATCTATTCTTCTACTCATGTATGAGTACAACATTTCCTTTACTAACTCAAATACAAATAGCTATATTCTTACAAATAGTCATACAAGATGACCTATCGAAAACTTTCTTTAACCCTGGCCAATATACAAAAAATATCATGACATCTTACACAAAGATCATATTATATCCCTACAACAATTATCAAGTTATGTCAATTCTCATCTTATAACATGAAAATAATACAAGAGTTAATTCTGAAATAGTAAACATAGCCTCAAATCTCTATGGTATAATCAACTAGAAAATATTATTCTCAATAATTCTATATCATCTACTTGTATCATCACAAATAAAACAGACAAATAACAACAATCTCTACTACAAAGTAATTTATTATCAATTGATAAATATCTAACAGCATCACCTAAAATTAATATCTGGTTTTTCACTAAAGAAAATCTTTCCCATCTCAATAACATAGATATTTTCACTGATGGCTCTATTCAACAAATGTATATATCATATGTAAAATTCAGTTTAGTCTAAATAATATGGTCTCCAAATATTTCTTTTGCTCATCACTCTCCTGTAACCATCTCAATAACTACATTAGAAATACAAGCTATCTGCACTTTAACAGAAATACTTACCAATAACATCACTATTCAAATTTTTACAGATAGCCAAGTAACAATTAATGATTTTAAAAACAACATAATCTTTCATAATAATCTTAGCAAGAGATGATCTTTACAGAATAGCAACTGGCATTTATAGGAGATCATCAATCATAACATTATAGAAAAAAATCTAAATCTTAATTTGCAAAAAGTCAAAGAATACTCCAATAATCCTGATAATAATCTGACAGATACCTTAGCCAAATCAGCCTCTACTTCTTATTCTATCTCAACCAACTTCACTTCACTTCCAGAAACATCCTACATTCCAGTTTTTAATCTCTCATTATCTATAATATCAAATCTTCATAACTTCCTCAAACTTCAGGATAATAAATATACCACTATCAAATAGTAACTTTATATACTAAAAAACAATTTCATAAATCACAGTTTATGATTCATAATAAACTGAAAAGTAACTAATCTCACATGAAATCAAGACAAAGGAATTAACTCAATAACAGTCTCCACAAATACATCCAAATTTCATATATATTTTATCAAAATAATATACAACATGCTACCAACATTATCTAATCAACACAAATTTTATCCATCAATATACTCACATGATACATGTAACAGATATCATCTTGAATCAGAAATAAACTATCACTTATAGACTTGTTCAGTCTCAAGTGATTCAATTAACTTTATTCTTATCAAATTCCAAGTCAAGCTCAAAAAAATTCTTACAAAACACTTCTCATCAAATAACACTCAGTATCCTCCCTTCTCACTTAGCTCCAAAATCAAAAACTTCACAAAAAAATCCTACTTCCTTAATAATACTGATCTCTCTTCTAATACAGATTACAAACCAGGATATATACTTATCTTCAAAGATTTCATTCTAATAGAGCTCACAAACTTCATCAAATCACTTGATCCATTCAAATCAGAAGCTTTCACACTATCAGCAAAATTTGTAACTTGATTTTTCAAACAAGATTTCACTTACATTTGGCTAGCTCATTATAATAATCAAATTCAAATAGAAAAATCAAACTCCATCTTTGTCAAATATAAACGCATCTTCAAAAAAAGAACAGAAAGATCTAAAACAATAATATCCTCTAACCTTAATACTAATATTTTTTGGCTTCACATGGAAAACAACCTTTGCTTATGCAAGTACTCAGCTTTTACTTATATAAATAATCAATATCCTGATGATGGTCTTGCTGATCTTCAAGAAGATCAAATAATCTCACTAATATATACTCTTTAAGCTGAAAATAACTTGTTCATTAATCCTTTAGATTTTATGTAATCACAAACATGTCTTGATGGCTAGTCATATCATGATTCTCTTTCATAGATTTTCTGATAGCTCTTTTCTTTAAACTTTAATTTGTAATTCTTACTTTGTAAGTTAAATTAGCATAGAATTAAAGTGCGATTATACTATAGTAAATAGGAATAATAATAATAATAATAATAATAATAATAATAAAATTTTTCACATCTCTTTTCTGTTAATCTCTTGATCAGGTGAAGTCCAAGCTGTCCAAAGTGAAAACTCTCATATATTTCTTTATTAATGATTATAAGTCCTATAGCTAACAAATATAATACAATTAACTCTTATAACTCTTCAAGTTTCTAATTTACTTTTTACTTTTTTCTTTATTTTTACATAATTTTTCTTTAAAAATTAAACTTCCAAAAATTCCAAAAAAATAAAAAACAAAAACTTAAAAAACATATAACAACTTTTCTTTTTTCCTTTACTTTTCATTCAATATAATTTGTTTTTTCACCTTTACATCATGTCAAACAATATAAAAAAATAAAATAATAATAATTCTTCCAAAACATCTTTCATTCCTAATTCTTCTCTAAACTATCTTAAAAATACTTTAGGTCTCCAATCTCCTCTCATAGCAATTAAGTCAGCACCAATTCCTCCTATTCTAACAACTGACAAAATTTCAGATACAACTTCTGAAATAATTAACAATAGCTCATGCAAAAATTCTTATGATCACACACCTCTTGCAGGTAGCCTATATGTTAAATAAACCAAAAGAGAAAGAACCCTATTTAATGTAACCAGTAAAATAATTATCTCTCACTCAATAGAAGAGTAAATATAGTTATATAATAATATGAACAAGAATAATAATCAATCACACATGGAAATTGAATCATCTGATACTGAAGATGAAAATAATGAAGATAATTCTCTTATTGTAGATCTACAAGATAGTCAATAGAAAATTATAATCAGTATCAAAAGATTTCGCAGATGGATCCCAGAAGTAAATTTATCTAACCAATCTACAAAGGAAAATATTAGTTTCATCAACAACTTATTTTATAAACTTTATAGATTTCACAAAACAAAATCAATTATTAGCAATAAAGAAAAATACATTTACGCAGAATTCTCTTCAGCAAAATTACTGGATAAGGTAACATATATCTCTCTTAATGACTCCTTCCTATCAACAACATATTCATCTTCTGCTACTAATATCAATACAGATACTATAGTCACAATCAGAGATGTATTTCATGGCACCTCAATCAAACAAATCCATACTATAATATCTCAATTTGGAGAAATTATAGATATTAAGCAAAAAATTATTAACAAATGGGTATACACAACAGTTAGATTTGCAAATATTAAACAAGCAAAACTTGCAATCAATGAGTGATTAGTTTTTCTAGGAATAGACAGAATTTGATTATTATCTCTCCTAAACCAACATGAAATTATTCAATAATGAGACACATACTCAGTCAAACTGGTTAATCTATCTTATGATACCATAGTCTTCAAACTAGAAGATATTCTTCAAAAAATTAATATTAAGACATATTTCATCTCCTGATCCCCTATAAAATATAACTGTCAAAGAATAGCCATTCTTAGTTTTGTATCTGAAACTAATTTGGCTTCTGCCATGATCAAAAAGGTTTAATTACGCAATTCACAACTCTATTAGGAATAAGTTAATATAAAAGTATGCAACATCTGCTTCTCTCAAAATCATATCACTAAACATTATACAGTAAAAAATAAAAAAGCTATTATTTATAATCAACTCAATAAATTATATGAGAATTGATATCTCTCATATCACAAACCAATCATCTCTTCATCCACACTTAACTTCAAAAAAGCATTGCTTTCCAAAGCAGATATGAATTATTATCATAAAAACAAGATCCTAACAAATAAATCATCAGAAGTACTTATATCTAATCAAATAACTTCCACTAATAACATTGACTCATCTATTCACAATCCATATAATAATCAAATCCTAACAAAATCTGATAATTCTAACTCTCCTACTCTCAACATAAGTAATACTCAAATTCAGACAGAACTGAAAAATCACAAGATACTTATTAAAAATCTTCAACAAGACATAAACAAGTTTACTAATGATCTTAACCAAATCTTTCATAAAATTAACAACATTGAAAAAAAATTAATCTTTTAATTCATAAAATAGATAACAATAATAATAATCTCACATTAAACATTTCAGTTATGCCAACTCTCCCAGAATCAGAATCTCTTAGCAAAATGAAAAGTCAAAAATTATATGAGATGATCACTAAACAAAATGAAGAACTACAAAAAAGTAATAATAATCTTACAACAATTATCACTGAACTTAAAAATCAATTACAATATTTAAACATGTAATACAACCTGTTATTGAACAGACTAAGTCAAATTGAATAATCTTCACTTAATGCAAAGTATCAATAATAATCCAAATAAAAACAAAAACTCTCCAATCAACCATTCAGAAATTTACATTGACAACTCCAACTTAAATAAAAATCTTTACTCACATAATAATATATTTTCTTCATCTCTTCAATTAAATCTAGGTACACTTAATGTTAGAGAACTCCATATTTCTAGCAAATCATATAATGCTCTTACTCTCTTTCAAAATCTCAAATTCAACATTCTGATCTTAACAGAAACTAAACTTACCAATCAACAAGCAAAATTCATCTTCAACCTGTCAATAAAATACTCTTATATATGGTCTTGCAATGAAGCACAATCTCTTGAAACTGGAATCAGTATTCTTTTCAACTCATTCTGATTCAGACACATCCAAAAAACTTTCAAAATTTCAGGAAGACTTATTCACATTTCACTAGCTTTCACTAGTAACATACAATTGAAAATAATAGCTATCTACTTACCAGCCTCCAACTTCAGCAGTGATCGAACAGTTAAGTGAATAATCTTATACTACATTAATAAAACTATTTCACAAGCCAAATATTTTATTATTTGTGGAAACTTTAATGAACATTATTTTTCTTCATCAAATAACAGTCTAGTCTCCCTTTTTAAATTCAAAGACAAAATCAAGATTAATTAATTACTTCATCCTAATATCAACTTCTTTACTTGGTCTAGATCAAACTCAAAATGCTACCTGGATATGATCTGATATAGCTCTAACCTTGCTTATCTTTGCATATCTTCAGAAATCTCTGATTCTTTCTGGATCAGCTCTGATCATCTTCTCTCTCAATCCTTCATTAATCTATTTCCAGTTCTATAAAAAACTCCAATATCTATAATCAAGTGATGGAAAATAAAGTGACAGGCTTTTATTATCAAAAATACATCTAATGAAATATGGACACAATTCAAAGAATTAACAAACTCACATCTCTCTATCAACACAAATACTACATATCTCACAATTTCAGAACTTTGACTTTTAATTAAACATATCATACTCAATTCAGCTAATCAAATTTTCAAAAAAAAACTAATTAATATTAATAAAATGCACTCAATAAATACAACTATTATTCAATGGAAATATAAATTATTAGATAGCATTCTCTATCATTTACATCAATATTAATATGAAAGACAAGAATCAATTACTGCAATCCAACAAAAACTAATAAAATTCTTCAAGAAATTACAGCAACTAGAACCAATTACACCAAAATTTTTAACAAATAACCCTAGTAATAGTTATATTACAGAACTTATAACGCTCATCCAAGAATTTAGAAAACAAATCTAAATACATAAAAAAATTGAATCCAAAAAAATACAAGCTCTTCAAGTAGAGCAGATCATCAAAACTAACCAAGCAAACTTCTAACAAAATCGTAATAGCATACTTAATAACATTCTTAACAAGGACACTTTCTTTATTTTAATCAATAAAGTTTATCAAAATAAATACTTTATTGAATATTCAATTGAAGTTAAAAATACAGTCAGACAATACTTCAATTAATGGTATCAAAAATGTAAAACACAAGATTGGCCTTCACAAAGATGGAAAGAAATATTTGAACTTCTAGAATCTATAGATAACTTGATATTTAATTCAGTTACAGCTCTTATTTCATTAACTGAACTTCATCAACATTTAACTCTACTATATTCAAACAAAGTAGCAGGATTAAATAATATAAAAAACTCCTTCTGATAATATTGTGAGCAAAAGGTTCTACTCATGCTCATCACACTTTTCAACAAATACTTAGAAATACAAGATACTCTTAATGAATAGAAATAAATAAATATTATCCTCATTCCTAAATCTACTGACTAGAAAGAAAATCTGAATATCACTAGACCAATAGCACTTCTAGACACAGCAAGAAAACTTTTCTCATAGATCCTTACTAGTTACATCTCTAATTTATATGCTAAATATAATATTCTCAAGGGCAATAATTTTTCAGTACTAAAAAATACCTCAACAGCTTGTCTATTACATGTTATTAATAATATTATGGAAGATGTCAGAGAAAATAAAAAAGAACTTTAGTATATATTTCAAGATATGCGCTATGCTTATGACTCTGTCAGTTGGTCTATTCTAAAACTCAGCCTCAATAGAATAAAAATAAATCAAAAATTTATCACATTACTATAAAACTTATAGCTGAATTGATATAACCGTATTTTTACAGAATATGAATTCACAGAATCATATCATGTAGAAGATGGATTAGACCAGGGAGAAGTTTACTCACCAATACTTTGATATATCTTTTATAATCCATTACTATATATGATCAACTCTATCAAACTTACCTATAGTTACAATATCAATAATTCATCAATATAATTTTCACACTTCAAATCTGATCTAATACAAATCCATATATCTAACTTGGCTTTTGTCAATGACACAGTATGGATAGCCAAATCTAAAAGTAGCATAATCCAGATATTTCAGTTGGCTCAACAATTTTTTACAATATGTAACATAGTAATTAACACAAAAAAAACAGAAGCAATAACAATTAATCCTGACAAATAAGCTAACCCAATCAAGCTATCTTTCAATCCAGATGACTTAGAACTTAAAATTATTTGCAACAATAATTATACTAAATATCTTGGAATTCTACTCAGTCCAGATGGAAAATTCAAAACTTAACAAAAACAAATCAAAGTAGATGTAGATTCTATAATATTGCTCCTTGAAAAAAAGTTTATCACTGAAAAACAAGCTATTTATATCTTTAACAGAGTGCTTTTTTCTGCCATTGAATACAAAACACAACTTTTTATCCCTTCTATCACTTTCTGTGAATCAATAATGAGAAAAGTCAAGAAAATAGTAAAACAAAAATCAAATCTCCCCTCAGACTGTCTCAATTTTATTTTACATCATCCTGCTCTCTTGACACTTGAAAATCTACCAGATATTTTGGCAAGAAGTAAAATCTCTGAATTATTTTTTTGACTCAATGACAAAATAATTATGGGCATGACTACATAAATCAGATTACAAAAACTTCAATACCAAAGATAGACAGAAGAATCAATTCTTCTCAATCCAACTTTAGAACCCATCCTAATTGGAAAAAATCTTATTGTCAGCATAATACCTCTAATATATCAATATAACATATCTTTCTTCCCCTCTCTTAATGACACTTCAACATTAATACAATTCTCATACAGATGGTCCATCTCAAAAATTCTAAATAACTGATCTGTCTATAAAATCTGCAGAAAATCTCTTTCACAAGACAATATTCTATTTTTATCTTAGCTTACTAAATATAACAATACAAAATTTATTTCATAAAAATAATATAAATGTAAATTTCATTTAACTAAATAAGAGTATAAGTCAAGGTGATTCACTAATTTAACACAAAGAGTTACCAATCATAATGATTCATTTGACTTAACAATCATTAATAAATAATATGGCCATAATAAAGACTCATATAAAATCCTAGCCCACCATATTTCTACATATTTTAATAGCAATTCTGATCTGTATTCACATTGATATCAATCAAAAACACAACTAAATCTAGCTGATGCAGATAATAATTTTTTTATAGACAGATTAATAACAAACTCTGGTTCATCCAAAATATCAGCAGGAGCAGTATGGATCTCATGACCATCCAAAGCAGATTTCAGATTTTCAATAATCAACTCACTGTCCACAATAAAAACAGAACTATTTGCTATCTGTGCTTTGGCAGAAATCTTACCAGAAAACTCAAAAGTATCCATCTTTTCTGATAGTCAATCAGCTATCCAAGAGTTCAAGAATAATATTATATTATGATCACTATAATCTAATTATCAATTATATCAATAATCCAATTGGCCATTATAGGAAAATCTTGATAGCAATATTAATAATAAAGCTCTTAATATCACAATTCACAAAATCAAAGGCCATTCTAACAATCCAGACAATGACCTAGCTAACAAACTTGCTAACCAAGATCATAATTCGGATACTCTTCACATCAACTATCATAATCTACCATATATCAAATTTATATTTATATTCAATCAATCTATTTTAATAAATATCAACTTGAGAACATTTCTTAAAAAAATACATCACCACTCAAGTATTTACAAGTGACAGAATAAACTGAGAATCAAACATAATATATAATCCTTATTACAAAATACTGACTGATTTAGTATATTTTCAGTATAGAACCAAGATAGTGAAATTAACAATATTCATATTAATTCTCACGCTTTCAAAATTCATACTTTCTTTATCAAGTTATTCTATAATATGTTACTAACTTTACAATATCTCAAAATTCATAAACCTCACATATATAAAAATGATATTTGTTATTTATGCAAATTAGCAGTAGAAGATCAAATATACCTGTGAACTTGTCTAATAGCCAGCAAAGCAAGATCTACTATCAGCCAACAACTACTTTCTCAGTTATATAACTTCTTCATCTTATCCTATGATAATATAATAAATTTTCCTTCAAGACAAATCATTCAGATCTATCTCCAAATATCTTTAATCTTCACAGTCTTATTTAATGCTACTCTTTTC